TACCCTGGGAACTGTCCCACCACCCCTGGCCCTGCATTATCACCCTCACCCCTTCCTTAACAGGTCAGTGGGGGGGCTGGGGCCTGGGGGGAAGCCAGGGCCAGGGTCCTTGCCCACAAGGCATTAGTGACCCACAACCCCTTACAGCCTCTACATTGGGCCGGCAGGACCTTTTGGCATCTTCCCAAGCAGCCGGCTAAAGCGGAGACCAAGCCACTGTGAGCTGGAGCTGGCTGAGGGTGAGTATGGGTTTGTGTGCGTAGATAGCCGTCTGCCGGGGCTCCTGTCTGCCACAGGGAAAGGGGTCGCAGGTGCACACAGACATACACAGGAAAGTCCACACGGGGACTCAGTACTCAGGTTACACCCACGTGCAAAACCACAGACCCATGGCCTGGCCCACACAACCACAGCCACCCAACAAGCCACAAAGAGTCATGGCAAAATGCACCGTGGCATGGGGGCCACAAAATGACAGCCCCAATAGAATACACAGCCACGCAGGAAACAGCCACAGGACAAGAACCACCCAAGAGACAGCCACACAATCACAGCCACTTAGGACCATGGCCACACGAGAGTCAGCCACAGAACCACAGCCACATGACCACAACCACCTGGCAACGATCAGACACAACCACAGCCATTTAGACATACCAGGAGTTCACACCTAGGGAACCTCTCAACCCATATGCACCTCCAGCCACATGCAGGGGCACACTCCAGAATGCAGACCACAGGGACAACTCCCCAGACTGACAGCCACAAGAAACATGCCCCTAGGAATCTCAGCCATTGACACAAAGGTGTGGACAGAGATACAGAAGGCCTCAGTTGTCTGCTGCGGGGGCCTGTGATGGTCCTTGTCTACGCCGGGGCGGGGGGGGGGGGGCGGTGGCTGGGTGCCTCACTAGCTGGGGAGCTACACATGGATCCTACTTGTGGATCCCTCGGGTGGAGAGAGCCCCAGCCCGCCGCCTGTGTGGAAGTCCCCACGAGGGTTCTGGGTGCCTGAAGCGAGGGCAGGAGGGGGCGCCCCCTGGGTCTCGGCCGCCAACCCAAGCCCTCCTGTTCGCAGGGCACCAGCCCCAGAAGGTGGCCCGGCGTGTGTTCACCAACAGCCGGGAGCGCTGGCGGCAGCAGAACGTGAATGGCGCCTTCGCAGAGCTCAGGAAGTTGCTGCCAACGCACCCGCCCGACCGGAAGCTGAGCAAGAACGAGGTGCTCCGCCTGGCCATGAAATACATTGGCTTCCTGGTGCGGCTGCTGCGCGATCAGGCGGCCGCTCTGGCCGCAGGCCCCGCCCCGTCCGGGCCCCGCAAACGGCCCGCGCACCGGGGCCTCCACGACGCCGCCCGCCGCGGGCCTTGTCGCAGGGCCGAGGCAGTAGTGCGCTCGCAGCCCGCGCCCTCGGCCGGCCCCGACGGCAGCCCCGATGGGGCGGCCCGGCCCATCAAGACGGAACGAGCGGCCGTGAGCCCTGAGGTGCGGTGACCTTCGCAGCGTTGCCTCTGAGCCGAGGGGCACCGGGAACTCTGCCCAGGGCGGTCGATGCCCTGCGCCTGCCCTGGAGCGAACTCCCCCCCAAGAGGGACCAGTGAGGACGTCCGCAACGGGGGGAAAAGGGCCCCGGGGGTCTGGAAGGGCGACTGTCGCCCCCAGAGGCCCCGCAGACCTTTTTTTTTTCCCCCCCCCCATCACCCACCGCCCGCTGGAACTGGCCTTTTCCCGGGTCTCCCTCCCGGGAACGAGGTCCGGGAACCAACATGGCAGACAGGTCATCGGACTAAAGTGGTGCCTCTTTTTTCCGGGCTGGGGTCACCGAGAGAGAGGTGGGGAGGGACCAGGGAGTCTTTGCCCTTCTCACCGGCGCCCCCTCCTGGAGACTCGTGGATACACGCCCCTGGACCGCGTCGGCGGAGGCGCAGAATCGACGCCGCGACCCACCCCACCCCACCAATCCCAAACTGGTCCCCGTACGATGGCGTTAGCGAAGGCTCGGGCGCTCTGACTTTTGTTTTTCTTTATTTCTTTATTTCACATACACATTAGCCATTCAATGGAGAAGCCGGAGAGAGTCAGGCAAAGATGGTATAACAGAAGCGCAGTGACGGGGGCGGGGCGGGGCGGGGCGGGGCGGAGAGGGAACAGACGGGCTGGCTGCCTACTTGCATTCCGCTAGGACACTGAAAACCCAGAAAACAAAACAGACAGTAAACTACCCTTGTTTCTTATGTATCTCAGTGCAGAGACGGGGGTGGAGGGCAGAGAGAGGGGGAGACCAGGCTGAAGGAGGAGGAGCGGAGGGACAGGGGACGCTAAGGGGGAAGCACACCAAATCCATTAGTACTATATATAGAGATACTCGTATATACTGCGTTTCTTAGCCTAAGAAGAAACTTGTTTGACGGGACGGGCGGCCTTTGCGGTCCGCGATGCTGGTGCTGGTCGGGCGCACGGATCTCCCGGGAGGGGCCGAAGCGGGGCTGGCCCAGGCTGGCTTGGGGGGGAGGGGGGCGCCCCGAGGGGGGGGGGGGAGCAGAGGCGGGGCTGGGGTGCCCCTCGGGCTCTCGATTGGGGGACGAAATTTCTCGTGACTTTATTGCTCCTTTATTTTCTCTCGTGTGTGGGGGGGGGTCCGTTCAGCACGGTCGGGGTGAGGAAATGGTGGGTCGTCTGAGCCACCCGGCCCCTCTGGGACCCAGAGCGCGGCGTCCGCTCCGCCAGCACGGGGGTGAGAACAAGGCACTAGGTCGGCCGGCCAGCGCGGGGGCGGGTGTGTAAGGCAGTCGACGGGGCTGGTTGCAGGGTGGGGTGGGGCTGTGTGCGGGGCCGTGTGCGTGCGTGCGTGCGGGCGCGGGCCTGGGCGAATCGACCTGTCAGCTTGGCTGGTCCTGTCCTGGAGCTTCGAGCCTTCCTCCTGCTCCCCGGTGGGTGACGGGGGTCGGGGTAGGGGTGGGAGGAGTGATGTTGAGTCGGGGGCGCCGGGGAAAAGGGAGGGTAACTACCAACTTGCTGAGCGCGCTCCTGATAATGCTGGTGAGGGTCAAGTTGGCGTCTGGCTCAAAGAAGGGCGCTCGGGGCGGAGAGGGAGGGAGGGAGGGGACGTTTGTTCGTTGGCATTGACCTCTGCGGGGGAGGGGCTGGGGACCCCCCCGCCGCGCCCCCGTGCCCGGACGGGGATGAGGCGAGGAGGGGGCGCTGGGGAGGGGGCGCCCGGGGAGACCCGCGGCCAGAGCAGCCCAGCCGCCGGGCGTATGCCGCTGTCCCGTTCCGTTAAACTCAACAAAGAAGGGATATGCGTGTTCCTAACAAGTGCAGGATATTTAATTGATTCATAAACTTATGTATAATAGTTTGTGGGTTTTTTTTTTAAAACGTACTTTATAATGTAAGAAGCACCAGGGTTTTTATGTTGAATTATCTTAAAAATAATTTTCTCTCGTCCTTTTCCTTTTTGAGCTTGTGGTTTTGTTTTTGTTTTTAATGTCGAGGTGTTTTTTTTTTTTAACTCTAAAATGTGAACGTTTCCTTCAGCCCTCCCACCGAAACCGAGAACGAACGACGAAACAAATAAAAACCCCAGATCATCCTCGTCAACGCAGGAAAACGACTTAAAAAAAAAAAAACTGAAAACGAACAAAAAAAAACTAAAAAAAAGGAAAAAACACTCAGCTTTCGTTATCCCCGCGCAGGGCGGGGCAGGCCCAGTTCTTTTAGCGTCCCCAGAGCCGCGAGGACATTACAACAAAAATAGAATTTTTCTTAACAATCTCTTAACATACAAAGATAGGAAAACTCTCTGATGCATTGCACTTGGTTCAATGAAAAAAAAAAAGTTCATTTCCCCCATATATATTTTTTGTGGGTTTTTTTCTCTTCTAACACGTCCCCACATCTCCTGTCGCCCTCGTCGCCCCTCGCCTGCCCCTCGCAACGACACTTGGGAAAGGAGCGGCCCCCACCCCCCTGCCCGCCCGGGCAGCGCCGCCGGGCGCGCTCCCGCCCCGGCCCAGCTGGCCTGCAGCTTCCGACCTCGCCCGGGCGGGCGCCCCGCAGACCCCGGCTCCCGCGGGCCCAGCGCGCCCGCGGCCCCGATTGTCTTCGAGGGAAGGGGCGCGTGCGGCCGGGCAGGGGGTCCCTTCCGCTCCCCTCTCAGCTCTGACCCTGTTTAGCCAACCAAACTGAAAAATCATTGCACTTTGACCGCGCGTCACGCCCGGCCCACCCGGCCCCCCCCCCCCCCCCCACCCTACTCCCCACGCCCCCCCCACCCAGGCTCCCGCGGGATCCCCTGTCCCCTGCTTCTCAGTCCCGGTATTCCCCGAGGGCTGCACGCGGATGGGGGAGGGCCTTCGCTCAACTTCCAACAAAAGCCACTCACGGGGCCAGCCACCTTGTGGCTTCCAGTTGAGGAGGCACCACTCGCTGGCCCCTTCTGCCCCAGGTCAGGGCCCCCCTCACCTCCACAGCCAGCTGCCTCCCCTCTTTCCTCCCTCCCTGCTGGGGCCACAGCCTCACAAACTAGAGTCACAATAAATAAAGCCCACACCCCACCCCTACGGTGCAATGTTGGGTTGACTGACTTTCAGAGGATCCTGACCTGTGCTTTGTGTTTTCATACAGTTAAGAAGAGAGAGAGAGGCACAAGGACTCGAGAAGGGGGCCTGGGAAGGGAGATGCAGGGAGGAGGGAGTAAGGCACAGAAAGACAAGCCGGAGGGGCCAAGTCACACCCTGGAGGGGGGCTGGGCATGCTCTTGCTTCCCTCCCTCCCAGGGGGCTTCGGAAGACCCTCTGGACTGGCCCCCAACCATCCCGTGGAGGGGAGGAAGGGGCTACAGGGCGGGGGGGGAGAGAGCTACTTCCTGTGGTGTGTTACCAAATTGTTCCCAAGTTGCTCAAATGGAGGAGGAGTTCCCAATTGCAACGGCAAAAGACCCAAACAAATGAATGCCCCACCCCTAAATAAAGAGTAAAGACATTACAGCTGAAATCCAGAGAGAAGTGGCCAGGAGGCCCATGTGGTGGAGAAAGTGGGGGGGGGGGGACAGAGAAAGTTCCAAAACACTTTTGAAAAAGGACAACACCCAACACCCTCCAAAGGACTGAAAGTCGGCGAGCAGGACGCCTACCTAGCGCAGGTGGCGCTTAGCCAGCGGCAGCGGCGGCTGCCTCATCCTCCTCGCTCGGCTCCGGGGTCCCCTTTCTGCTCCACTCTCCGGCCCGGCCACAGCAGGGCTGTCTGTGTGAGGGGCAGGGGCAGGGGCCGGTGGGGCAGAGCGAGGGCACCTGCATGCGGGGCTGGGGTGTGGGGACTACCTGGGGCCCACCTCCCCTCACTCGCGGCGCAGCCAGAGAGTGATTTTACCGGCCTGCGGAGAGAGGGAAGAGGTGGCCTGTCCCAGGCTGGGACGGGCTGTCGTAGCATTCCGACTCTTTCCTATGGACTGTACAGAGGGGTCTGGGGCCCTGAAACTACCCTCGAAGCTCAGGGTGGGGTGACAGAACACCCTCCATTCCAGGAGCAAGAAACTAGCTCCAGGGGCCGCTCCCTGCCCCCACCCCTTCCCGGGGAGGGGCAAGGGGGGGCTCCAAGCCCGAAGGTAGGGCAGGCAGACCTGGAAGCCAGGGGCCTCACCTAGTCCAGAGCAGCTGGGGGAAGAAGCCAGAGGCCAAGGCAGTGGGGGCTGGGGGACGGGGGATGGGGGTGGGGGCGAGAGACAGGCAGGGAGGGGGCGGAGTCTGGAGGGAGAACCCTCTGGATCTGCACCCCATCATTTGTACAAGCTTGTCCTCCAAGCTCCCTAGTGAAGCTCCGGCCCAAGTTGCGGATGGGGTTCCCCTAGGAAGGGTGAGGGTGGAGGACAGGCCCCTTTAGAACTGTGCTGGTCGCTTTGTTGGGTTGATTTTGTTCCTTCCCCGGAAGGACGGGGCAGGGTAGGGTGGGGAGAAAGGCAGTTCTGCTGCATCCTTTCTTTCTTGCTGTCCTCTACTTTGACAGAGTCCGTTTGCAGGTTTCTTTCTGCTTGGCTGCTGGTGCACAGCTCCACCGAGACCTCTTCCGAGGGCTCTCCGAGAACTGGGCTGCTTCTGGGGGCCTGCAGAGCTCCCCGGGCTGGAGGAGACAAGGGCTGAGTGGCTGACGACGTCTAATTTTTGCTTTTCGGTGGGGCTGGGCCGGGGGATTTTTCCACGTCTCAAAATTTCTTCTCCCCCCGTTTGAGGAACCTCTTCTTTACATTTTATCATTGCTTTTTGTCGATCTTATCAGAGGAACCAGGACTGAAATGGGACAAAAAGAGGCCATACTGAGAACAGCAGGGACGAGTCTCTTCTCCATCCCACCTGGCCCGCTGACTTCAGGCCAGAGCCCGAGGCCCCGACAGGGCCCACCTCCAGCAGAGCCAAGGACAGCAACACCCCACGAAGAGGTACATCCCCATTCTGTCCGCACCTCCTATGGGAATCCTGCCGCCCCCAAGAGACCCTGCCCCCCAGTGCTAGGGTCCAGCTGGCCTTCCCGTGGGCACTGTGCCCAGCGGGTGGGACCCCCGTGGCTGGAGCTGGCACAGGCACAGACCTGGGATCTGGCCATGTTTCCAATTGTTTAGGTTTTTGTATGGGTCCTGCAGGGTGGGGAGGATGCCAGGCTGGAGCTTTTGTCCCCAGAGGGGTTTTGGGAGTGGGGTGGGGGTGGCTCAGCTTCTTGCTGAGTTTTCTTTCTGTATCTTTGGATTAAAAGCAGAAATTCCCGTCTGTACTCCCCAGCCAAGGTCCCACAGGCTGAAAGGCTGGGGAAGGGGGGGGGGGGACACCACATGGCTTCAGTCCCTAGCAGTACCCGGCCTGGGGGAGGGGCCCCGTAGCCCACTGTGCTTGATCCTCTACCCTCAGGGCACCTGGTGCAGGGGGAAGGACCCGAGGCTCCCTGGGGCGGGAGTTGCTTCCCTCAGGGTGCCAGCAGGGGGAGTCACTTTCCCACAAACGAGTCTTGGTGGCTCCTCATCACAAAATACACCTGACCAGAGGCTGGGCTGCCTGGCAATGCCCTCCATCAAAGGCTCTGGCCCCACCTTGTGGCCAGGGAGCAGCGGGGGAGGGGTGGAAAGGGAAGTGTTCTCCTCTATGGTCTACAGGACCTGGGTAGGCCTGGTAGTACCTGCAGGGCCAAAAAGGGGTCCCCGAAAATGTATTTCGGGGCCTCTCTCAGATCTGCAGGAGCCAAGCAGAGCTAACCACCGAGCCAGCACTGGGTAGCAGCCCATTCTACCCTTGCTCCAACCCCACACAGAAGCCGGGCAGGGAGAGGGTGGCTGACCTGCCTGAGGCTACACAGTCTGCCTGCATGGCCCAGCCAGGACTCAAACATGAGGGACAGCTCCGATCCTAACCGCCACATGTGGCATGCTCACAGGGAGCCCAGCACCAAGGCTGCCACACTGGAGTGAGGGCCCGGGGCAGCCAGATCAGCCAGCTTTTCAAAAGAAGCCAAAAGTCCAGACAGCATTGCATGTGAAAGTTGTCAGTGTTTAAAACCACTTTGTTTCAGCCACGCAGATTATGCCTGCAGGCCGGACCCGCCCCTCAGGCTCTGGGACCACGGGAGGTCTTCTGTGAGAAGCACACATGGAGTTTTCCTGTTACACAGGGCCTGCTAGATCACCTAGAACCTTCTTTGACAATGGAAACATTCTCTGTTTGCCCTATCCCATGTGGTAGCCACGAGCCACATGCGGCTTCTAAGCAAGTGAAATGTGGCTAGTGTCACTGAGGGACTGAAGTTTTCTCTAGTGAGTTATTTCATTTGAACTTCAACAGCCACACATGGCCAGCGCCTGCCCCCACTGGATGGTGCAGATGGGGAACATTTGGAAGAATGGGGGTTTGGGGTTGCCACAATGCTGGCGTTTACTGGGTGGGCAGAGATGCCAAACTTCCTGCCACATGCTGGCCAACACCCAGAGGAGACCTGCCCTCCTGTGGCGGGGCTCCTGCAGGAACTGCCCAAAGTCCAACCCCATCAACTGACTAAAGGCCTTTAAAGGGAGACTCATGGGATACTTGGCACTGCACGGGGAAAACCCAGGCCCGAGGCACCCCGTAAGTTGGAGGGGGCTGAGTCAGCAGCCAGCCCCTGGGCTTCCAGTCCTGGCCTGAGGAGGAGGGAGCTGCCTGGGTGAGCCCCTATCACTGTGGTCTCAGGCCCCTGTATTCTCTGAGACCCCCTTCCCAAGGGGGGACTACCCGGGAACCCTTACAGCACGGCTATGTGAGCCTGGCCCTCACCCTCCCTGTGAGGGAAAGGAGGCAGGGGACAACGGGGTTGTGGAGCGCCTGCTTGGTCCCTCTGTCTTTGTCGGACCAAGCCAAGGAGACAAGCTGGTCCCCTTGGGGTGCCCTGAGCTGCACTGCAGGGGACAACCACCAGTGCTCAGACTGGGGAGTCCGCCCCCCCCCCCCCACAGAGGAGGAAGACTCCATCCAGTTCAAGGCCTGGAGTTAGGGGCAAAGGTGGTTCCAAGATAGCTCCCCAGCGCCTCCCCACAGGTCCCAGGAAAGGGGGGGGGCATCTGCTGCCAAGCACAAAGTGGCTTTTTCTGCTCACCCTTTCTACTTCCTGAGCCAGGTCCAAAATTGATTAAAACTAAGTAAAAAGCGCTGCCCAGGGAATGACAAAATTGCTAAAATTCTCTTTTCTTCCCTCATTCTATTGTTCTCTCTCCATCTGGTGCTCCAGAGATCAGCTAAAGTCACTGGTTACTGTGGAAACCGCCCCCCACTGTACCCCCTGCGCCCGCTGCAGCCGCCTGCCTGCCCCCAGGCCCAAGGGCTCTCGGCTGTGCGGGCCTTGTCCGGCTCCAGTCCCCCCCCACCTCTCCCCCACCGTCACCCTCAGACACACCTGCCTGCTGGGGCTCGGGGCTCAGGCCCCTTTGCAAAACAAGGGGGAGAAAAACCGTTTCCCAAACTTGCCTCAAACTCTGCCTTGGCCCCAAAGTCTAAGCCAAGTGAGCAGAGAAGGTGAAGAAGGGAAAGCACACGGAGATGGAAACAGGGTGGCGGGGGTTGGGGGAGGACTCCCGGCAGTGGTCCCCAAGAGTGAGCAAGCAACACGGAGCTATAGGCGGCTTGGGCAGAGGGAGGCAGGGAGGGAGGGAGGGAGGGCGAGAGCGATGGAGCCCTGCCGCCTGGTGCCAGCCCAGAGCCAGGAGGGGAGGCCCGCCTGCTGTCCCTTCCTCTGGCACCCCCTCCCGCCCTCTGCCAGCAGGGCTCTCTCGGCCTCCCTGGCACAGAGCAGCGGAGGGGGCTGGCTCCAGCCCCTGCTCGGAGCCATTGTTTTTCTTCTCAACACCCCCAAGTTCAAGTTCATCTGGGTGTTACATCATGTCTGGTTGCTCCTGGAAACCAGACGGGTCAGACGTGACTCTGGGGAAAGGGGGCGGGAAGCTGGAGGGGGTTGAAGTTCCCCTCCCCTCCCCTCCTTGCCACTAGGGAGCTCCGAAGTTTGAAGTTTGACAAAGTTTTTTGGCTTTTTTTTTTTTTTTTTTTGAGGGAGGGAGGGAAAGGAAAAGGGAAAAAAAAAAACAAAACCTCAAACCGCACACACAAAACTTCCATCCACCAACTTTCTCTGGACTCGGGCCTCAGAGCAGTAAAGGAGCAGGAGCTGAAAGAGGTGGCCCTGGGGCTCTGGGCCCAGGTGGATTTCCTGGGGCTAAGAAAGCCTCCAAGGCCTCGGGCTCACAGGGTAGTGTTTTTGTGAAATGCGCAAAAGAAAAGCTATTTGCATGTTCTTTTCTGAGAAGTTGTAAAAGCTGCCTCTGCCCTGCTCCTGAGGTGGGTCCTCCCTGCACCCCAGGGCCCGGGGCTCTGTGGGCTATTCCCAGCCTCTTGGGGACAGGCACAGGGAGGAGGGGGCCCACGTGCGTGCGTGCGTGTGTGTGCGTGTGCGTGCGTGTGTGTGCGCGCACGCGCACGCGCACAGATGCCTGTACAAAGCCAGATCCAGGGCACTCCAGCAGGAGGGCTGGAGTTTTCCTTGTGAGAACTGGGGACAGACGGGAGTTGGACCGGAGGTTCCAACAGCCCGGCCTCCCCTCTAACAGGATTCATGGGGACGTGAGGGAGGGGCCTCCAGGGTGGCAACAGGCCCTGCCCTACCCTGGGTGCCAGAGTCGCTGGGCATGCAGCCCACCAGGACGGCTCTGTCCCTCCTCCACCCCTTGCTCAGCCCACCCAAAGCCAAGGAAGAAGGGAGGGCTGGGGGCCAGGGCTTCCAGCTGGAGGGGAGGAGAGCAACAGGCAGAGCTGTCCTCTTCCTGATGGGGCCTCGGGCTACCACCAGGCCTGGCCCAGAGCGCCTCTAGCCTCAGGTCTTTGGCCGCTTTCCCCAGGGCCGGGGCTGTCAGAGCTAATTATCCAATTAGCTGATTAGCCAAGGGACCTGGGGGCTGCCTGGGGAGGCAGGCTCAGCTGGGCTTGCAAAAGCCTGGGCCCTCCAGCCCTGCCCTAGCCCCTTCTCCCCGATTGGCTCCAAGGAACCAACCTCTTCCCTAACACCCACGATGCACCCGCCCCTGCCTCTTCCCCCTACGCCCACATCCACATCGTGGGTAGGGTCTCCTACCTGAGACTGCTGTGGGATGTTCAAAAAGTTGCCGTCCCGGGGTCCGATGCTGACAAACCGGTTGGCAGAGGAGGCGCCTGTCGTTGCGAATGCTGTGGGGAGCAGGGAAGAGAGGGAGAGACCCCGTGAGGCCTTGGGGCCTGCCCAGGCACTGCCCTTCGGGGCTGCTGAGAGAGGGAGAGACTGGATTAGACCATGCTGCCAGGGCTTAGGCTGGCAGTGGGAAGGACAGGCCGGAGGGGTCCCATCATCCTCTCACTGACCAGGAGCACACACTGTCCCCCACCCCCAACGCTCCACCTCAGCCAGGTGTCCTCTCTCCTGGTCCAGGTGACGGAGGGGCCCTGGAGGCTTTAGCTGAGGTCCCATAGACCCTGTCCCCAAACCAGGCACTGAGTAGGACTGAGGATAGCCCTCGGTGAAGCGAGGCACCCTTGCTTTCCCACGGACTCTCTTGGGTCTGGGAAGAGGGAGCCTGGGAGGGTGGGAGGCTGGGAGCTCTGCCGGACCGGCCCCACCCTGCTCAGGGAAGGCCGGCTCAGCCAGGCCACCTCTCCGACCAGGGCACCTGGTTGGGTGCTGCATCATGTAACCACGCTGGGCAGTCCCAAGGATGGGGCTGATGGCTCAGGGACCTTGAAGGGGCCCAACGGAGGGCTGAGTCGGGAGGGACAGGGTCAGAGAGAGGAGCTGGCTGCCAGCTCGGGCCCAAAGGTGGCAAGGCTCAGGCCCAGCAAGGCATCCTCCTCTGATGGATGAGCCGGTTGCTGTGGTCCTGCAGGTCCCAGGGCCTGAGATGGGCCACGGCACAGGAGGAGGAGGAGGGCGCTGGAGGGCCCGGCAGAGCCCTAGGGCTTGTTGTTCTGGAGCCTGAGGGGGCAAATGGGCAGCCAAACACCCCTGAGCTCTTCTCAGGTTTTCTGGCTGGAACTCTATGGGAGGGAATGGGTCCTGCACCCCCAGTAGGGAGGATGTCCCCAGAAGGGACAAGGGTGTCACAGGATGCCGGGGATCCCCACCACACACACCCTCTACCAGATACACCCCAGGGACTGTGTGCTCGCCAGATTCTGTCCAGGGCGCCCCCCAGCCACCCTGCAGCCTGGCGCCTCCTCCCCCACCCTGCCCACCTCCAATGACCATGACCATGACTTCGTGTCTTATGGCGGATGCAGATGGGAAGATGGCATGGAGAGGATGGAGAGGGGAAAAGAACTCAAACCATGAGAAAGAAGGCAACAGAGAGCGCGAGACGGAGAGAAGTGAGATGGGCCGCCCCCCCCACTGCTGACCAGGGAGCCCCGGCCTGTGGCCTGCCAGCCCCCAGAGCGCCCGAAGCGCTGCCCGCCCCCTGCCCACAGACGGCACGCCGCCCACCCTCCGCCTCTCCTGTCCTTCACACGTCGGGTCTACCTTGGGCCTCTCAACTCAGATTTTTTTTTTCCCTTTAACAAAAATTGTCATTGGTTAGAGAAAGAGAGAGAGAGAGAGAGAGAGAGAGAAAGCGATGAAGTAAGCCGAGGCCCAGAGCCCTCCCTTGTCCTTGGAACATTCAACCTGGGGGAGGGAGGGGGATGGGAGGAGGAAAAAAAAAAGAAAAAAAAAAGAGGAACAACGAGAAACCAAATGTGAGACTGAAGGGGAGGAGGTCAGGGGCCAGCCTGCTGTACAGTTAGAGGCCCAAGGGCCCTGGAATGGAGGTGAGGGGGCAAGGCCAAAAGGGGATGGTGGTGGCGTCGCCTTGTGGTTACATTTAATTTTTTTGGTGTAGCGGGGCACAACGAAACAACAAAAATCAAAAAACAAAAAAACGAAAAATGAAAAAAACAGCAATCAGGCATGAAGATGGCATGGCTGTGCCTCCCCACCCCCCTCCCACCCTGGCCAGCACCCCTGGCCTGCGTGCCCCACTGTGCTCCCCCTCCCGCCCCCGGGAGGGGCCTGGGCCAGGGGCCCCCGGCTGGGAGCAGCGGGTGGGCAGGGGGGCTCGTGGGGTGCTGGCTGGTGCAACTGAGGCCCAGGAGGCCATGACTGGGGGGCTCAGCTCTGCTCTTGTCCGGGTGGGAGGCTCCATGGCGCTTTGGGTTGGGGGGCTTTGGCGGTGGGCGGGGCAGGGGTTTTTCTTTTTGCCGTGGAGACTGTTTAGATGGGCCAGGGATGCTGGGCGTTGTGGTTTCGGTTTCATCGTCCACTTACAAGGTGATGGAGGAGTCAAGGCGGCGCCGTCTGGGGCAGTGCTGGTGGATTTGGAATCAGGCATAGGAAGGGGCACAGGTCTGGCCACTGGAGGCGGCGGCGGTAGCAAAAATGACCCCGGGACTTTGCCCTGGCCGCTACCGTTGGGCTGCGAACAACATAAATAGAGTGACGCATGAAGGCACATCCCACACAGACACACGCTCCCCTGCGCGGCCACGCCAGCTCGCTCCTGAGAGCGGGCGCTCCCGGTAGAAGATGCAGGATGGGCTCGTCTCCTCCGGGGCACAGGGTGGGTGAGGGTGTGAGGCTTCTATTTGGTCTCTCAGGTGTTTCTCTCTTTTTTTTTTTTTTTTTTTTGTGGTCCTCTTTTGAAGTTGTGGGAGGGACGAAAGGGGGTGTCCGACGAGTGGTTTGTATTTTTCTTAGGGAACATGTTTTAGGTACCAAAACATGCCATCTAGCCATATAAGCAGCGCACCTAGAACGCTCATGCTCTTGAAGACCTTCTGCCTCAGCAGGTAAGATGTGCCAGCTCACCCCCCACTGTCCCCGGAAAACACACGCATGCCTCCCCTCTGGGGGCCCCTGGGGTGGGGCCAGCTGACCCACCCAAGGACTACAGGCCCCTCGGCGTCTACCCCACATCACAGCCTAGGGAGACGCCAGGTACTGGGGGGCTTGCCCTTGACTCCGGCAGCCTGAAGATCGTGGGTGCTGGCCCATTTTCTACAGAACAGCCCAAGAGGAAAATCCATCGCTGCTGGCTCCAGTTCCCACGAGGCTCTTCGAGAGGACTTCCCTGTACAGTGCCCTCGGAAGCCTGGGATGCCTGGTCGCCAGATCCATTCCTCAGCTTTATTCCCTCTTGTGCCTCAAACTCAAGTTTTCTCCCCAAGCCCCGTGTATGCCTTGCATGCAACAGCCTTTGGGATTCAGGGCACGCAGGCACCACAGGGAGGGGCAGAGGTCCCTGGCCTCTTGCAGGCACAGCTTCCCTGGAGAGGCCTCCCTGGAGCTCTGGGCAGTGCTCTCAATGACCACCGACAGCCTGGGCTTAGGTTGGGTGGGCCAGAGCTGAGTCCTAAACGGTCCCCTCTCTCAAGGGGCAGAGCTCTGCCCCACCCCGAGCCACCCAGGTGCAAGGCTTTGGGAGGCTCCTGTGCTGCTCCTTCTATTGCTGGGTGAGCCAGCCCAACCTCTATCCTCGCTGGTTCCCCCTGGATTAGGACAAGACTCCCAAGGGGTCTCCCCTGTGCTAACAGTGCACTCCTTAGCTCAGTGTCTCAGCGCCTGGCTCTGTACCGGGTACTTCACTCAGGTGGTGTCCAATCCTCCAACCCTGTAAGGCAGCAGGTTTCGCCTGGGGTGGGGGGGGGGGGGGGTGGATTCTGTCCCCGGCAGGGGGCATTAACAATGTCTGGAGACATGTTGGGTAGCACCACTTCCAGGGGTGCTGCCGGTGTCTTGGGGGGTGGAGGCCGGGGATGCTGCTACACACCCCACAATGCACGAGATGGCCCCCAGGATAAAGGCCCAACAACCCAAAGGTTAACAGTGCCGTGGCTGGGAAACCCTGATGCAAAGGAAGCTTGATTCTCCCCCTTTCACAACTGGGGAAACTGAGGCTCTGTGCAGCTGAGTGGTTTATCCAAAGTCACCCAGCGGTAACTGATGAGGCCTGAAATTCACAACCATGTCTCTCTCACTCCAGGGACCCTGTGGATTTTTTCCAGCGGGCTCATCCTAACCCTCTTTTCCAAATCCAAAGGTGCTCAGGCTTTTCCCCTCCCACTCCACAGCTCTGACTGCGTGTAACATAAAATATGAGCCCCCCGGTTGGGCATTCAAGGCCCCTAGGGTGGAGCCCAGATGGGGTCCTCCACCACCCATGCCCCTACACTCACCTCCTTCCAAGTACTCCCCATTGCAAACCAACTGGGGTGTCCAGAACACAGCCTAAGCAGTTGAGGGCTACACACGCGCTCACTGCAGAACCTTCTTGTCTACAACACTCCTTCCCACACTCCTTAAGGCCTGCTCAGAAAACACCATCCCCAACTTGGGACCAGCCAGATACCCTAAATCACCATCCATCTCTCTCTGCCTTTTTTTTTTCCCTCGGATGCTCATGACCTTCACCCTAGCCTTTGAAGCAGGCTGCCTCCCAGGCTCCCCAGCAAGCCTGGGGACGGCCACCTCCGTGTGGCCCAGGCGTGCAGCATTCAAGTCCCACTGACTGCGCTGAATCGACCAGTCCATCCTGCTGCACTTTCAAATCATCGAGCCCCATGTCTGACCCGTGCAGGCCACAACCTTCTGAGCTCTGGCCGTCCCTCCCCCACCACCCTTCACCTCTAAAGACCAGCACCTAGGTCTGACATTGTCCTTCCAAACGGTTTCCTTGATTTGCTCTTTCCTGCCCACTCAGAGGTCCCCTGACAAAAGCAAGTAGGGGCTGCTGATCCCCGTTTGTGTCCTGGGCTGGAGACCCTTTGTGCCAGGTGTCCTTTCAGAAACAGGCAACTGCCTCCCCTCATGTCTGCGGCCTATCTGGTGCCTAGCTTGTTCTTCCATCAGGGCAGGAAACGGGAGTCTCGAGAGATCACAGCCTCACTCCTTTATTCCAGGCCATCCTGAGCTTGGGCCCCCCCCAAGGGGCTGGGACACAGAGCCTTCCAGGTAGCCCTTTGCGCCCACAGGGTGGCCAGTGCCTTCTTCTAGTCCTCAAGACCCTGTCTCCCTTCAGGAGGACCTAAATCATGCATCACACTTGATGAAGCCAATCCCAGCTCGACATGGCCAGACATCGAAAACGGCTGATTTACAACATTTAGTTTCTGGAAACTACTTCCAACCAGGCTAAGATATCTCAGCTCTGATCGGGGTACAAGTTGAGGTTTTAAAAAATCTCGAGGTCTTGTGATTTTGCGGTGCCTTGAAACCTCATGAGTTAAAAGCTAGAAGGAACCTGGAGACCGGGATAGCTCTTCCCTTCGACAGACAGGTGAAGACGCAGGCCTGGCCGCTCCGGCGTTGGTGTTTGAGGCTGACCTACAGCCAGTCTTCCTGCCTCGCGGAGTCACGCTCTCCCATCGGGCCCTGTGACTTCTCCATCGCGTTCACTGGGCGGTCTCTTCTCTCTGCCAGAAATACAGCTAACCAGGCATCCTCCTTCGGCCCTTTGCGTCTCCTCTGAGTGGTGTGTCCATTTGGCCTTGGCCTTTACTGATTTGGCTCTTCTCAATTAGGGCCTCATGCTGTGGTCCAAGGATGAGCACAGGGGTGGTGCCTGGGAACCCTTTTGCAAATTGTAAAAATTTTGTACGCTTATTTTTTTTTCTGCAAAGATGATCTGTAACTTCACATTCTCAAAGAGGTTAGGAATTCACTCCTTTACGCTTTAGATCAATGGTTCTCAAAGTGGGTCACCCGACCAGAAACAGCATCACCTGGGAACTTGGGGAGAAATGTAGATTCTCGGCCCCACCCCAGGCCTGCTGAATCAGAATCAGGTGAGGCCCAGGCACCTGTGTGTTATTGAGCCTTTCCGGTGACTCGTGCATGCTAAGACTGAGAACCACTGCACTGGAGGTAGCCACGGAACCAGAGCAGCCTGGTACTGCCATTCCCTGTCACCAGGACAGCTGTGGAGCCTGGGGCCTCTGGCTCACTCCTCCTCCAGCGCCTGCTGCCGAGCCCCAGGGAGAGGCTCACTGAAGACACCCCCCCCCTCCTCTCTGGGCATAGCAGGCCACAAGAGGAAACCCAGAGAGACTGCTCCCCAGCGGGGCTAGGCTCTCTGATTAACCAGAGTGACTGTTTGCCCTCCTGTCTGCAGTGTTTTATCCATCTGCCTTCTGGACCAGACGAGCCCTTAATCTTGAACGGTCAAGTCAAGGAGAGGCTCAGGACCCAGCCATCATCAGGATGCTTAAGGATGGATTGAACCATATTCCTGAGGGTGAGTTAGGTTTGCCTCTTTGGGCTAAACTGGTCCCTCAGGTCAGTCTCATTTTGGTTCCAAACCCCAGCTGCCTCTGTGGGTGAGAAGGCAGGCAAGGTGGAGTTCCTGGACTCTCTGATCCATATTCCAGACCCAGGGCCCTTGGGCGCTGGGACATGGGCTGGTAGCTCCCGTAGACTCTGCTGGCATCTCTGAAGGAGGCGTAGTAGCTTTTGGGGGTCACAGCCACTTCTCCCTCCATGCCCCTAAAAGTGGACAGAGCTTGTCCAGAGAGGTGGGCAAGGCTCTGAGTGTGCTAAGGAGCTGCAGAGCCAGCCAAGAGAAAACCTCACAGGGAAAAGGGGAGAAGGAAACGAGGAAAGCAGAAGGAGGGGGGACAGGAGAGAGGGAAGACGACCAGCTTCCGTCCTGGACAGCAAGAGTGAGGAGGCTGAGCCGCAGCCCGGCCCCAAATCAACACGCCAGCACTTAGCAAATGCCCCTGTGTACAGGCCGCCCTGAGGCAGCACTGGGCTGCGGGGCCAAGGGCCGCCCACGGCTCTCCCTGGGACACCTCTGGCACGGGCTCCCGAACGCCTTTCCCCACCACGGCCCTTTGAGCGTCCTTCCCACCTGACCTCTCACAACGGGTTTCCAGGCTGGACCAGCTGCGGGGAGAGGGGCTGGGCCTTCTCACGGTGCAGTGTGCTGCTGGGACTCTACAGCCTTCCCAGGGGTCTAGGGACCACTGTGTCCCAACCTGGAGTGCTCCCAGGGACTAAGGGAGGACCCCTGTCTCACTGAAGGGTCACCTCTGGCCCACCCCTGTCTGGGATAAGCGCTTTGCTGAGTGGCCTATGTTTCTGCTTGTCAGTGACTGGGCCCTAGGGCCTGCTGACGGAGAAGGGCGGTGGGTGACAGAGCTCCATGGGCAACCAGCATCTCCCCTAGGCTGAGGAGCAGAAGGGCTTTGCTCCAGAACAATAACTGAGTGGGGAACCTCTTGCTAAGAGTTCTGCCAACAGGAGACGCCACAACAACTGTTGGAAGGAGGGAGGGCCTTTCCTCTACCCAGGGCTTCTCACCAGGAAATGATGATGCCCCTAGGGCACACATTCTTGATCATCAGGACTGGGAGCGGGTGATGCAGCTGGCATTAAGGGGGCGGGGGGGGGGCCCGCGGATGCTGCTCAGTACCCCACAGTGCACGGGACGGCCCCACAGAACAGAGAATGAACAGCCCAGACGTCAATAGTGCCAAGGCTAGGAACCCTTGGTCTAGAATCTACACAATCCTTGTAGCTCTGAGGTTTTAAGAGGGGTGTTACGAGGTAAGGAGTCCAGGCTGGGTTGGAAAGATCACGGGTACACTCTTACTGGGGGCACAGAGACCAAGGGGAGGGCAAGGAGCTCAAGCAAAGCAGGCCCAGCCACTGCCCCCGCCCCCAACTCTGGACTGTGACAGACAGGCCCTGGCATTACACACAGACCCCTACCCCCAGATCCAGAAGATGGAGGTGTCTGGCACTACCGACTCTCTGCTGCTCCAGCCCCAGGAGGGCTCCCGGCTTTCGGACCCTCTCCCTGTGAGCCCCGAGACAGACGGACGGATGCAGAGATGAGCTGTGGCAGGGCTCCTGGGGCCTCTGGACTCACCTGTCCGGCGGCCTGGCCTGAGCCGTCCGAGCACACGAACTGCACAAACTCCTTCAGCGAGTCCTGCCCGTGGTGGTGGTGGTAGCGGATGGTCGGGTGCGTGAAGTACGGGCTCGACTGCTGGATGATGGATGTGGAGGGGAAGTGCAGCGCTGATGCTGTGGCCCGGGGACTCCCTGCGTGCACGTGGGCAGGAAGAAGAGGGCATCAGGGCTTAGCAGGTAGAGGGGGGCGCGATGGAAGATGGGGCGGGGGGGGGGGATTGCTGGTCAGACAAAGCACTGAGGAACCAGACGAAAAGGGAGAATGGGGTAAGGTCAGGGCCAGGACCAGGGTGAGAAGAGTGCAGCACCAGCCTCTGGCGAGGAAGTTAAGGCGGTGCCAGATGATTCGGCAATCGAGGTAAGTAATATCTCAATGCAGTGTTTTTAAAAAAGCCGAACTGGCGGAGCGCCTGGGCGGCTCAGCCGGTGAAGCATCAGACTCTCAATTTTGGCTCAGGTCATGACCTCAGGGTTGTGATCGCAGGGTTGTGACATGGAGCGAGTGCCATGCCCGGCTCTGCGCTCAGCGAGGAGTCTGCTAGACATTCTCTCTCTCTCTCCCTCGGCCCCTCCCCGCCAAAACAAACAAATAAATCTTTTTTTTTTTTTTAACACTTTTTAAAATAAAAAGTCCAGTTGGCAAACTAGGGCTGGTCAGCTACCTGCTTGTCTTTGTAATAAAGTCTGATTAGAAGCAGGGCTGGAGCTAGGGTGACATGAACAAGGCAAGGTCCGGCAAACGCAAGGCCAGTCCCCTCTTTTGTTTAAAACGTTGATAGCCGCTATTCCTTGTATATTTTTTTGCAATCGTTTCAATTTTTAAAAAAATATTACATTAAATGTTATTTGTCTTGATGGCTAAGATCTTGGCGCCTCCTGACACTCTGCATTGTGGTGTCAATGCAGACTGTCACTGCCTTCACCCTGATCCAGGGCCTAGGTGCGAGTCTGGGGGAGGGACGGAGGAGGCCAAGGACTCCCAGGCTCTGGCTAGAGACAGAGCCGCTTGCCTGTGCAGGACAAGCCCTTGCAGTGCATACACCCGGCCCCTGCACGCACATGACCGTGCCTCTGGCCGCTGCTGCCCAGGCCCTGTTCCTGCGTGCTCAGCCCCACGGTCCTTGCACGCGCATCCTCCCCACACACAGCTCCCACCCCAGCACAGGCCCCAGCTCTTCCCTGGGCCCAGTCCTCCCCCTCCAGTCTGTTTCCAATCAGCTCGCTCTTGCTCTCAGTTTCATTAGGGGGCTGAGCAAACTTGGCTTCTCTCTGGAGTTCATAAAAGCTGAGCTGAGCTGGGCCTGCCGCCCTCCCGCTGCCTGCACACAGGCCTGGGGTCCCCGCCCCCACCTCGTGGCCACCACACCCTGCCCCAGTGCAGGCTGCCTCTGGGCTCTCAGCCAGGAGGCCCCGAGGAGGAGGCTGGGAGGGTAAACCGCACTCTTCTCCGTGTCCTACAGAAGGGCCCGCAAGACAGCAGGCGGGTGGACACAGGGCAGTGTCCAGAAAAAAGTCCAGGCCTCTTTCTGCCAGAAGGGTATCAAGGCGGGGAGAAAGCAAATGAGGAAGCAGGGAGGCTGAGGACTCAGTTCCCACAACTTCCTGCCGGATTCCATCCCCTCAGGAACGCTGAGCTGTCCCTACTCCCCCCACCCCCACCGAGCACCCTCTCCCGAGACAGAAGCAAGAGAGCCCCCCAAGGCAGTGGGCTTGCTCCTTTCCCTGGAGAACAACCCAGGTGCTACGAGCCCCTTGGCCTAGCCCTTCACTTTCGGAAAAGGGCAGGGAGGGCCTGAGAAGGGGGCCTGGGCTCCCCTGAGTGCTCTTGTCAATCTGTGCCCCACAGCGCCCCAAGTTGGCGCTGGGAAACCAGAACCTGGGCTCAGCCAGGAGCCCAGAGAGAAGAGGTGAAAGGAGGACAGAGGGAGCAGCCTGTACTTTCCCGCCCACGGCCGGCAGGAGGAAAGGAGAGTGGGCAGCAGCGGGTCTGGGGCCTCCGCCGTCACAGGCAGGTGGGAGAGGGCCTTGGGACGGGCCGGTGCTGCACAGCACACACATGCGCGCACACACGCACGCACCGACGCACAGACATGCACATGGGGAGTGAGAAGCAAGTGGGAGGGTGCTCGGGAACAGGGTGAGGAGGGGCTGCCTCGGAGGGAGGGCCCATTCCCATGCCCACCCTCCGCCAGACCTCGGCCTACTCAGAGAGCTTGCAGCTGTCACTCCGGGGCTGGAGCCCCGGCTCCTTCACCTGGCCAGCTGCCCCTCAGTGCTCCACCGCCTCCCCCACTGCCTCCCTCCAAGCCCCCCCCCATTTCTCACCTGGTCTGACTCCAGCAAGCACAGGCAGCGGGTGGTGAGTGAAAGCCATGCGCGGGGAGCTGCCCTGAGAGGAGAGGGCACTGCAGAAGTCCAGCTTTCCTGACTTCTTTAGAGAAGCCGGGCCTGGGGGGAGGAATCAGCAACACAGGGCAGGTTTAGCTGGGCCGGGGCGAGAGCAAGGGAAGGCGGGAAGCCAGCAGCTAGCTCCTTCTCTCCTCAGGCCCCCTCCCGGCTACCCCTTCCCCACCACACTCCCTTCCTGTCTCCTTTGCCCCATTCCAGCTCTGGTTCTCAGGCCCGGCATGCCGACGGGCCAGCTACAGGTGCTCTGATCGGAGAGAAAAACGAGACCCTTGGGTGCGCTGGGTAGGAGATGAGCAAGGGGGCCCATCTTGCTCCCTGATGAGCAGATAAGGAGCTCATAGGGCACAGGTTGAAAAGGTGGGATGCAGGGGCAGGGGGCGGGGAAGGTGTGCAGGAGGAGCCCTGGGGAGACAGCTTCAGAGTGATGGGGGACCCGGAAGAGGGATGGGTTGGGGTCTGCTCTGTGGGGCCCTGGACTGGGGGAGGCTCTGGTAGGAAGAAACCACCGATCCTCAGGAGGGACCACAGGGGTGATACAACACCCGACAAGAGAGTTGGGAAGGGGCTGGAGGACCTGGGCGGGCACTGGGGGCAGTGCGGGACAGGAAAGGACTCCCCTGCCAGGGGATCCAGAGGCTGGGCAGCTGTAGGATGGGTCATTTCGGGGCTTTGCTCTTCTCCTGGTGCCAGAGATGGGGTGGCATTCAGTGGGAGACAGGGGCACAGAGAACACCCCGTTGCAGCTCTGCCTGAAGGATCCCGATGCTGCCAACCAAGGTCATCTCTGTGCCAGGCGGTCATGATGTCCAGGTGATGCTCTGACACAGCAGGGCCCCTGGGCCAGGTCCTCCAGGGGAACTTGTCTCCTGTCCTGGGCTGAGCCTGGAGAAGGCCGTGCCCAGGACGGGAGGGCTAAGATGGAGTGGTGGAGATCTGCAGAGCTGCCATCTTTCGGGCATAGAATCAGTCTGAGCAGGGGGGTGGGGGTGGGGGCTGCAGTCTTAACAGCAGAGGGAAGCGGTGGGGGAGGGGCGAACTCCCAGCCGCCAGCAGAGGTGTTATCTGGCAGCAGCTGTGTGCCACCTGATAGCTGGCACAGTGCGGGGGTGGGGAGCACCCCCACCAGCTGTGCACAGCTGTCCCCGTGGCCGCACAGCACCTCCCCAGCTGTTCCCTGTCCTGCAGCTGGGCTGCTTAATTGGCGATTTGTCGCAGCGCGGGGAAACAACACCGCGGGGGGGGGGTGGGTCCGGAGGAAAAGAAGGGAAAGCAAGGGAGCTGAGGGTGCTGCAGGAGGATGTTGGGGGCCGTGCATGGCAGGACAGCTGGAAGGAGCAGAAATGACAGGCACTGGAGCAGACAGCTGAGAATAAAGAGTGGGAGCCAGAGAGGGGACAGCTCTTTGAGCACCAGGTCAGGGCAGAGGGACCTGGGGGCTGAGCCCCAGGAGACAGCGATGGATGTGGCTCTCAAGGCACTTGAGTCCTTGAGGGACAGTCACTTAACTGAGGCCCTGGCTGCGGAGTCTTCAGGGCATTTTCAACCCCTTCTCTCTCCCTCCCAGAGGGAAGTATCTGGGCTGTGTCGACCCAGGTCCCTGTTTGCCACATGAAACCCTGGGAGAGACACCCGAAGACTCGCCGGAGAGCTGTCTCACAGAGGTGAGCTTTGCTCTTGGTCTGGAGCCCACTCCCCAGGCCCAAGGTCTGGAGACGAGCCCTCCTCCCCTCCTCCCAGGGAGCCAAGAGCAGAGAGCTTGTGCAAACTCCATCTGGGCCACAGGAAAGCAGGAGCGCCTCCCCACCCTTCTGCCTTGCTTTTCGCCCAGCCCCTGCCCCGACCCATCCACTTGGCCCATCTCTGTAGAGGCACATCTGGAAAACACCAGGCAAAGCGACATCAGGTCAGGCCTTCCTCTTCCTGCCTCAAGAGCAAAGCTCCTGTTCCCAGGCCTGACCAGAGCAGACATGCCCCGTGTACAACCCCCACACACGGGTCTACACTCCCTGGCTCCAAGACACTCGCACCTCAAGGACACACACAGGTTATACCACCAGTGTGTCAGGCAGAAGTATCCCGCAGCCAGCCTCCTCACACATACATCGTGCACGGACACACGCACAAGCGCGGGCACACACGCGTCCTCTCCTTCCTTTGCTTCGGGGTTCTCTGGGTCTGCTCATGCCTCCAGTCAGGACTGGAAGTGAAGGTGGGTGGGTTCACCGAGAAAGGGGTGGTTGGAGGGTACTGGGAGGACTGGCCACGCTTCCCTTAGACCTTCACCCTTCCCTAGCTTTCCTGCTTGATTGGAAAAATGATTCTGGTCATTCTTTACTAGGCGCCGCTCCTCTCTGTGATGCTGGGCCCTTCAGACCAGTGGTTCTCAAGATGATTCTGTTCTCCTCTCCCCTATGCTGGGGTATATTCAGCAATGTCTAGGGACATTTTTGGTCATTATACTTTGGGGAGGAGTGGGGAGTTACTACTGGCTGGTGCATGGAGGCCAGGGTTGCTGCTCAATGCCCTACAGTGCATAGGATGGCCCCACCCCAGAGAATGATGTGGCCCCAAATGTCCATGGCACCCAGACTGAGAAACTGCTTTAAACCATGAGGACCACAGAGCTGGGGCAACTTCTCCAGGGAAAGGAGACCACGAAGAGCTCGGTGCCTGGGGCCTCTGCTTTCCTTCCACCACACCCATGGGCTCTGCTGCCCACATAGGGACAGCCCAGCTCCTCGCCTCCACTCCTTCCTTCGGCCTGGTCTGCCCTCCTCTGGAAGATCAAGACGCAAGAAGACAGGTAGTGCCACCCCACAGCAGGGGAACCGGAGGGAGGCTCGCCAGGTAAACCAAGAGGGAAGAAGAGGCTCCAGCCGCCCCGCTCTGGGTGGGCCCTGCAGCATCCATACCTGCGTCCACATCGTTGGGCCACCCACTGGACTGGCTGCTGCCGGCTGCTGGGGAGCGGCCTGTACCAGGATAGAAGACATCATCCACAGGGCTCTCCATCTCGCTGTCATCGATGGACTTGGGGCGCTTGGTGGTGCTGGGGAAGACGAGAGGGATCAGGTAGGCCAGAGGAAGATGGAGGTACAGCTCCTCAAACTGAGAGAGGCCGCACTGATGACCCGTCGTGTGGGGAGCAGGTGCCTGATGACAGCAGCACCCCCAGGCACTCACTACGTGTCCACCCCTAAGACTAGACTGGTCCCGGAGTCCCTCGGGGCCCAGCCCACCTGCTCCTGCTCCTTGAGCCCCTTCTCAGGCCACAACACCCTCATCCACTGAGCTGCCCAGGTCAAAGAGGGGGCAAAAGCCTCCTCCACTGCTTCCCTGGCCACTTGCCAGGGACAAAAATCCCAAAGGGTGCCACAAAACTCAGACATCAAGATACTATGTTATATTAAAACAGTACTAATATGAAGCTATTATGGTATTATAACGTAATATTTTAACAAATCGAAATGAATGCCGAAAACCTCACAATGAACCAAAAGTCTAAGTTTTTTAAAAAAAGCACAGGATCCCTCCCTGTCCTGAACAATTGGCCCTGACTAGGGCTGAATGTACCCACCTCCCAAACACCTCTCGATTCGGTCCCACCCTCTCACCCCACTCACCCACCCAGCTCGGGCCCTCCTCTACTCCAGCCTCCAACTGGCCGTCAGTCCTGCCCATACATGCTGCTGCGAGGGGCACTTTCTGGAGCACATATCCCCCAGCATCTCCTGCTTCAAACCCTTCAGTGGGTTTTAAGTCTAAATACCTTCCAGAGCCCTCTTTGGGGGTCCCACCAGGATGTCCATCCTTGGCTGGGATGGGGGCTGCTCTACTTGGAGCATCCACCCCATGCCTGTCTGGGCTCAAATGTCACTTCCGCAAGAGAGAGGCCTTCTCAGATCCCCACTGGGAGTGCCTTCCAGGCACGGTCGTGCCTTGTTCGGGCTAAGGTCCCCATCACCAAACGCCCAGCGACAGCACGAAGCAGGAAGCTCAGGGGGTTGGTGGCGTGGTGGGCCCCGGCTGCTCTGGAGCCCACGCCCTCAACAAGGGGTGATCTTCTAAGGAACCCAGGCCTTGGAGGTATAGCTGCCTGCAGCACCTGAGATGGCCTGGGGATGGGGGGGGGCAGGGGGAGGCCAGGGTGCTGGGCTCACCTGGTGGAAGGAGGGGAGGTGATGGACCGCCGCCCCAGGGTCACCTGGTTTATGTTGTAGTAGCTGGGACTCTCCAGGTCTGCCAGTGAGAAGTTGGGCCCTGATGCTGTCGCAACAGGAGCTGGGAAAAGGCGAGAAGGTGATAAAGTTTGAGGTGTGGAAGGCCCAATGAGGTCTTGTTTTGTTGTCATGAGCAGCTCCCCAGAAGCCTCCTCCTGGCTGGGGGGTCTTTGCGGAAGAGCCCTTGGTTCTGATTTTTTTCTCCAAAGCAGTGGAGATTAGAGAATGGGCTCTCTGGGCGCCTCTGCTCCACCTAGCCCAGTACCCATGGGCAGAGTGTCCCAGGAAACCCTGTCTGCCCCTCTGCCAAGACCCCACCAGCGGGGGGCCACATGGGGTCTGAGTCCCACCTCATCACACCCCCAGTCTGCTGAGCTCAGCCCTGGCTGAAAGAAAGAACTCACTTACTCTGTGATACTCTCACCAGCTCCGTCACATTCCAGACCCCGGAAGTCACAAAACAGTCCTGGAAACTTAAGTGCCCTGAAGAGGGGAAAGGACAAGTGAGTGAGTCAGGCAAGGCTAGGAGGGGCTGCCTGCCTGTTTCCCCGAAGCTCTCCCCACTCTTGCTTTGACTCCCTCCCTCCCAAGCCTCACATTCCAGACACACGCTGGCCCTCAGGGGCCCTCATGTCTACACGGAAGAGTGAGTATGCGTCAGGTGAGCCCCCACCCCTTGGGACGTCAGCTGAAGTTTAGCTGAGGAACGGCTGAGTAAAGGAGAAGAAGTGGAGGGAGAGCGGAGGCCAGGTTGGCCAGGGGTGGGAGGGCAGGTGGGGGCCGGGCAGGCCACAGAGGCTAGGCATGGGCCAGCGGGAGTTGGGGGGCACTGACCGTTGGGCAGTGGTTTGATGTCCGCATCTCCTTGCTGGTTTGAACTATCTGATTGTCCGGATTCTGCAGGAGACACAAAGGGGAGAATGGGTCAAGATCAAAGTGCCCCCCCACACACCAGCCAAGCAGCTGCCCCTCCAGCCCTGCAAACACCTTCATAGCACCCTCTCCTCGGAGCGGAGTAGCCTAGGGAGACCCGAAAAAGAGGAGGAAGTGCATCCTACGGACACTGGAGCCAGATCCTGCTCCGTGGTGGGGTATCTTGGGCACTGCGGGGTGGCTGGCAGCAGCGCTGGTCTCCACACACTAGATTCCAGTAGCACCCAAGTCTGACAACCAACACTGTCTGTAGACACTGCCCAATGTGCCTAGCAGCAAAGTCGCCCCCGGGTGAGCAGCAATGGCTGAGAATCAGGGCGAGGATGGTGCCCAAGAGAGAAGCCAGTGACCATCTCTTTGCACAGCTGGGATGAACCCAAGGGTCCCCCATCCTCCGCTCGGCTCGGGCTCCCAGCAGAGCAGCCCCTTCCTTCTCTCACTTCATTAATTACAGCCATTCCTGTCAGCCTCAACCACCCCCACCTCACCTTTATGCTTACAGGCAGTGCCTGGCAACACGGAGGGGGGAGGTTTGCCCTGGCGCCGTCGCCCGCTCTGTGCCAGCCTGTCTGGGCTGTCTCATGCCCCAGTGCCACAGCTGCTCAGAGGGAGTCCCGAGACAAGGGCCCATTGTGCGGTGGGAGCTCACAGAGGGCTGCGGCAGGGTGGAGTGTGTGTGTGAATATTTTGCTGAGCTTGGGAAAGCCCCCCCCACCCCCGCCCCCCAGGTCCTCAAAGCTTTGTGTGCCAGGGGCACAATGGGGACCTCCAGAATGCCTGCCCAGGCAGGACAGCTGGCGAGAGGGGGGCAGAGGGGGGCCAGGGCAGGTTGTGGGGCAGGAGGAAGGCTAGGCATCTGGTAAAGAAGAGGCTGCTCACAAGGGGACAACGTGGGGGTGGCATCGGAAAGGGAGAGCGCGCCCTGGTATTGACCAAGGTTCTGCCCAACTCTTTGACCCTGCCTCCTGAGTCTCACCTGCCACCCCAAGGTCAGGCTACTGGCCGGAGAGTCCACCCCTCACTGGCCTCACAGCCAAGCTGCGCACACTGGGGAGTGACCAGCGAGGAAGCTCCTAAAGAACAACGACACGGGGGCCCAAGAGATTGCAGCAAAGTGCCCTGTGGCCACTAGGCCACTCAGGAGGGATGGAAGAGCGATGGATGACAGGGGCTGGTAAGAACAACAGCATCCCTCTGGGAGCGAAGGCCCAGGTTGGGCTCAGGCCAAGTTTTTGGCCACCTGCCTCGATGTGACCAGTGAGAAAGGACTGGTTGCCTACAGGACAGTTTCAGGCCCCACTTTCCCCATTCTTTACCTTGTTTAGTTTTTTGAAGTCCAAAAAATAAATAAATAAATAAAATCTTGTCACAAATCAAGAAAACAGAAGTTTATAAGGAAAATGCTAATGATGGCCCCTCAGCCCCTCCAATTTGGGGTGCAGCCTGCCACACCTCCCTTTGTGTTCACCCCCGGGGTGTGTTTGGGGATGGTGAATCCTACACCCCAGGCCCCCTCTTTGCTACTGGCCCTCTCTGCTCTGGAGAGAATCTACAGGACCTCCTCCTCCCAGGCTCCCAGGAGGGCACCCTCTCTGTGCCACAGCGACTTGTGGCTATGAATTTTGTCATTCTCTCGCCCTGGCTTATTCCTAGCTATCTGGGTCTGATTCAACCCCCCTGCCAGTCCAGGAAGGAGCAGGTGAGGGGCTGAGGTACTGGGCGGTCCACTCTAGGACCTCCCTAGACCCAGGGTGCCCGGAGCCTGCTTCATCTCCCAGGGCTGCCCTCTCCTCTATTCAAAACTTAGGAAGGGCAGAGCCACAGGCCCAGCGTGTGTAGCCCATTGAGGGGCACATGCTCGGGGCTCTGCTGCCCAGGGGCCCCTGCTCCTGACCCCACCCATCCTGACCCACCACGGACCAACTCCGTCCCCACCAGCCCTCCAGGTCTGGGTCCGTGGAGTTGGGGGAGCCAGAGTCGTCCGCCCAGGGGCCCTGAACGCGGCCAGGTGGAGACAGAAGCTGCGCGCACGCGCACATCCAGCGCAAGGACAGAAAGGCGAGAGAGAACCCGACAAAGAGATGGAGGTGGGCCAGCGACTACGGCAGAGACAAATGGGGCTCCAGGAGAGCGCGATAGACAGGAAATCCTTCTAAACCAGGATACTGTCCCGAAACGTTATTGCTGTTATTACTATTAGCTTGATGTAAAGGAGCCAGCGGGAGCGAGGATCCAGCGCGGGCAAGGCCCGCTGCCACGCGCCTCCAGGCGCTGCTGGCAGCCATTTTAGCCCTTGGCAGCCATCTTACTGCTGGCGGCCCAGCCAGCGTCCCCACAATGCCACCCCCGCCGGCCCCCGGCATGCTCAGCTCAGCTCTAGGACAAAAGGCAGAAACGCTGGAAATCTGGACCCAGGCTCGGAGGCTGAGGAGCCAGCCCTGCAGCAGGGGCAGCTCCAGCCAGGGCCCCACCGTCCTGCTCTAGCAGCACCCCCTTCACCCTAGCGGCCGGCACCCAGCAGAAGGGGAAGGGAGGGTTGAAGCCGGGGCCCTGGGGACACCATGGTCCGCTCAAAGGCACTGAAGCCCCCACAGGCCAGTCGCAGGCCCTGGGGCTCAACTAGGACCCCTGCCCTGACAAGTCAGTAAGGGACATGATGGGGGCAGGCCCTTGTCCACCCAGTGGACAGATGGGGCAGGGGGCTGGCAGGAGCCCATACAGCAGCTGCAGCGCCAAACAGCCACCGGGCCCTGGTGGACAGGCTTCTAGGGAGGGTGAGGAGACCACCGCCACCTGCCCCCAGGGGAGGGAGCCAGCTGGCCAGCTTTCTTGGGCTCTTTGGGGAACCATGCCCCAAGGTCCGGGCCTACTTTAGACAGCCCTCTGGGATCAGAGGCTGCACCACAGGCTAGCACACCAGGGAGCATGACACCCCAGCATCTTGACTCCTTTCCCTGTTGAGCTCCCTGGGGGAGGGGATAACCCCAGGCCTCAGGACAGACAGGAGGAAGGTCCCTTTATGACACCCCTCCCCACGCCCCGCCTCATGGCTGCTCAGCTTTTATCTGGCAGAATGGGGCTTATCAGAGCCACCAGCTGAACAAACATACAAATCCACGGTTAGTGAGAAAAAACCCTCTGCCTGAACTCTTTATCTCCTGTTCACAGGCCCCACGCACTGCCCCCTGCCAACAGCACAGGAGGAGACCTGACTGCTGCACAGCGGGGGCTCCTCTCTCTGCTGCCCCCCCCCTCCCCTCGCCTCCGACCCAGAACAGGGTGGCTCTCCCCTGGCAGTCCCTGCCCGGCGGGTTTGCATGAGTAAGTTGCAGCCACATGGGAGCCCCCCTCCAGTGTCTGCTTTCTCGCCAGGGATAATGGGCCAGCTGGTGGCCTGTGGGCCAGTGGAGGGGCAGGGACAGTGTTGGCTAGCACAAGGCAGACAGGTGCCCAGCTCCATCTTTTATCCTCCCCCTACACCCTCCCCTGGCCCACGCCCCTGACGCTGTCACTCTGATTCCCCAGCCTTCCAGGGCCACATCCTCTAGAAGCCTCTCAGGCCTCGGCTCTCTTCAGCCTGGTTGCCAGAGCGGTGGGGACCCTAAGTGCACACCCCCAGTTCAGGGCCACCCTAAGGTCAGCAAAGCAACCCTAACCCCCCTGCCTGCACCTCTCTTCAGAGACTGCTGCTGCCTTCACACCCTAGAGACTGGAGATGGGAAAGAGCAGCCAGGGGCACCGCTACCTCCCTTTGGCCCTGACACAGCTCAACCTTTCCCTCTATCCTGGCCCTGAGGACCAGAGAGCATCTTCCCCGGTTTTAAGCTTCCTTGCATGAGGCCCATCGAATATAGCCTCCTAAAAACAGTCCAGCCACTGTGTCCGATGCCTGGGCTTGATGCCCTGGGCAGACAGGTATCAGGGTCCCTGAGCCCCGGCCAGGTTTGGGGATGGAGAGAATCTCAGAGCCCACAGCTTATTCTCCATGCTCTCGGTGGTTAGGCCGGCTCATGTCACCCACAGGAGCATGCTCTGCTGACTGCCCTCTGCGTGGGACCTGGGCTACTCATGTGATCCACACCTCAAAGGCAGAGGCCACCTGCCCGTAGTGCCTGAGGACCCTGGCCACTATGGAGGCTTTCGGAAGGGAGGACTATGCAGGGGCAGGTGACAGATCTGGACTCTGTCTCAGCACGGCTCCTGGGTCTGGGGCTGCTCCCTGTTCATCTGCACACATGTCATTAGTCACCCCCCCCCCCGCCCCTGGCATCGATGGCCTGTGGCCTTCTGCAGTACCCAGACCCGGGCCAAACTCAGCCAACAGTTGGCGGTGTGGGCCCCTCTTCCTTAGGTCCCTCCATATCCCCTGAAACAGCCACAACGCTCCCCCACCCTCCACCCCAAGTACTGCCTTTCTCAATCCTGCACCAGCTCCACCTTCTCAGTCCTTGAAGCCCCCCTACTTGCTTTATTGAGCTCTTCACCTTTCCCTTTGGAATCCCATTTCTGGTCTCATTTTCCTCTCTTGGCTCCACACTCCTCTCTCTGTCCTTCCTTCTTCACGTTCCCTTTCTCAGGCTCTTTCCTCTCCCGACCTTGCCTGTCTCTCTCTCTCTCTCTCTCTCTCTCTCTGTGTGTGTGTGTGTGTGTGTGTATCCAGACCTTGCCTGTTTCTGTGTGTCTGTGTGTCCAGAAGGGCTCTGCCTCTTCATGGGCGCTCTGGAGGGGGAGCTCCAGCAGCCAGGAGGAGCCCAGTGTTGCACACGAACCCCAACTGACAGCATGTTATATATATGTATGTATATTTCCAGTCACAGACGGGCAGATATTTATGGCTCCCACTAGGTAAAGGAGGAATTCCTGCTTGCTGCAGGGAACGCTCTGCCTCGGCTCCCACCCGAAACAAACTCTCTCTGTGAAAGGGGCCACATGTAACTTGCTGGCCGGCTGCCTCCACGCACATC